CGCAAGCGTTTCTGCCCTCCTCCACCCGGCTCTCCTCATCCAACCTTGTCACCTTGCAGGTGCAGGTGCAGGTCCTGTTTCACTCTCTTCACCCAGTCCGGCGCAGGAGGAAGGAGACGCGTCTTGCTTTCTCCCCTCGCTCCCGGTGCACGTTACACCCGCCAATCGCTTCCTCGGAGGCACAGTTCGTTTTCCTCTGGAGCAGGCGGACCCAGTTACTTCTATCCAGGTGGTGGTACCCCCCAGTACGTGTCAGGACGCCAAGCGCTCTCCTCCACGGTCATCCGCGCCTCCCCATGGGAACCAGCGCGACACCCTACCTCAGGTATGTCCTTTGCACTGCAACACTCCTCTCCCTCTATCACATTTCGTTCAAGAATGGGAGCGTTTACCAGGGGTATCGCCTTGGATCCTTCGCACAGTTCGGCTCGGCTACACGCTTCAGTTTTGTCGCAACCCCCCCTGCTTCAACGGGGTCTTTCCTACTGTAGTCGACAGCGCCGCTCAGGCTTCTGTACTACAGCAGGAGATTTCATCCCTTCTGCTGAAGGGGGCGATAGAAGAGATTCCTTCGGGGGAAGTCGAACAGGGCTTCTACAGCCGTTACTTCCTGGTCCCGAAGAAGGGGGGCGGCCTGCGGCCGATACTAGATCTTCGCCGGTTGAATTTCTCTCTTTACAAGGGAAAATTCAAAATGTTGACGCTGAAGGCCATCATATCTCTTATCCGGCTGGGGGACTGGTTCGTGACGGTAGACCTCAAGGATGCTTATTTCCACATCCAGGTCGTACGGCGACACAGGAAGTTCCTCAGGTTCGCCTTTGGAGAAAAAGCGTACCAGTACAGGGTCCTCCCCTTTGGCCTCGCTCTAGCGCCAAGGACGTTCACAAAGTGTATGGATGCTGCTCTGGCCCTGCTGCGGCTCCAGGGCATCCATATACTCAACTACCTGGACGATTGGCTCCTTTTAGCCCACTCCAGAGAGTTGGTGACTCACCACAGGGACATTGTCCTCCGTCATATTCAGTCTCTCGGTTTGAGGTTGAATACGGAGAAGAGCGTTCTTACTCCAGCTCAGAACACGGTTTTCTTGGGGGTACGCATGGACTCCGTTCTTATGCAGGCCCGTTTGGCTCCTGCACGGATTTCCAGTCTGGTGACATGTCTGTCCCGTTTTGCACTAGGCCAGCATGTTTCCGTGAGCACCTGCCGCAGACTTCTGGGCCTTATGGCCGCGGCCTCCCCTGTGCCACCTCTGGGGCTACTCCACATGAGACCTTTTCTGTGGTGGATGAAGCTCTCAGGGGCTCGGCCCACGGGGCCAGCCCTTCGCCTATTGAAGGTGTCGCGCAGTTGCTTTCGCGCCCTGTCAATCTGGCGGGACCCCCTCTTCCTTCAGAAAGGAGTCGGTATGGGTGCGGTATTCCGTCGCCAGATGGTTACGACGGATGCCTCTCTGACCGGCTGGGGAGCGGTTTTCGAGGGCAGGCCAGCGTGTGGGGTTTGGACTGGCGAGACCCTCTCGTGGCACATAAACAGCTTGGAGCTGAGGGCTGTCTACTTTCTCCCTTTCCTCGAAGGACACCATGTCATTGTCAGAACGGACAATATGGCAGTAGTGTCCCATGTAAACAGACAGGGGGGTTCACGATCGCGCACCCTAGACAGGCATGCGCGTCACCTTCTCCTGTGGTCCCAGGACAAGTTCCTCTCTCTGAGAGCAGTTCATGTCCCAGGGATTCTGAACCTCGCAGCAGATTTTCTGTCGAGGCAGAAGCTCAGGTCTGGGGAATGAATGTTGAACCGCCAGACGGTGGCCCTGATCTGGGAGGTGTTCGGGAAAGCGGAAGTGGACCTCTTTGCATCTCAGGAGTCGTCCCAATGCCCGCTTTGGTTCTCTCTGAGCCCTCCAGCTCCGTTGGGGATAGATGCGTTCGCCCACCCTTGGCCGATGCAGAAACTCTATGCCTTCCCGCCCATCAAGCTGATCCAGGCGGTTCTGTCCAGAGTGAGTGAGAGCGGAGTCCGCCTCCTTCTGGTAGCCCCATTCTGGCCGTCCCAGCCATGGTTTTCGGAGCTGATCCCTCTGTTGGAATCCTCCCCCTGGGAGATACCGGTCAGGGAGGACCTGCTTTCCCAGCTTCAGGGCAGGATATGGCATCCTCGCCCCGACATTTGGAAGCTGTACGTTTGGCCTATCAGAGGCTACGACGTAAGAGCGTCGGGGCGGAGCCAGCTTTGCGCGAGCGCCATCAGCCAATGAATTGGCGTGATTCTATAGGGCTTCAGGCAATCGGCACATCCAGAGGATATCCCACTGCGCTTTCCGCAGCGTCTCGTTCCCTATTCAGAGAACATAGGTTACGTAAGTAACCAGAGACGTTTTATCACACAGGCATTGTGATTAAATTCATCATTAGTACAACCAGCTTTGTGTGGAAAATTCTTTATTCAAAACATCCAAAATAACACAAAGCAGAGGAACAACCGCTACAATTACATAGGCTATAGGTCATAGTGGACTTAATGGTTTAACTATATAAAATTAAAACGTATAATAATGGGTTGTGCGGTCATTGTAATATAGGAGAGACAGCTGAACATGCAGCCTATATTATATTGTATAATGTATGAAAATGAAAGACGAATGTTGCTTAAAATTAAAGGAAAAAAGGAATCCAAGATGTCATTAAAAAATCTGTAAGTATGAAAACAAGGTATGAAAGATGAGGTTTTCCTATATGAAAAGAAACAAGATTATATTTGAGAATATAATTAAGTAATTATGTATTATTATTATTATTTATTTATTATATTTTATATATATATATTTTTTTTTTTTTTTGCAAGAGTAGTCCCGCATTGCTGTTGCACAATCTAGTTCAGTACGTTGGTGGAAGAAGACAACAGTCTGGAAGAAAACAACTTTCTCTTGTACACCGACAAGCAAGAAAACAGGAAGAACACTTTCTCTTTATGCCGACAAGCAAGAAAACAGGAAGAACACTTTCTCTTTACCTGACAAGCAAGAAAACAGGAAGATCACTTTCTCTTAACGCCGACAAGGAGGAACGAAGGTCTCGTTTGTGTATCATAATCGGTATTTTTTTGTTTGTTTGTTTGTTTGTTTGTTTTTTCGGGAAAATTGTGAAAATGAAGATTCTCGTTTGTTTGCCCATATTGCTCTGGTGTTTTGGCCTACTCGATCATGGTAAGACATTTCGGCGTAATGCTATGCATAAAGTGAGTCTTATTGCTGTCGCAGTTGTATAAGTTAATCGATATAGGCTATATTTGACAGAAATGCATTCACATTTTTATTTTGTATTGTGTTTTTATTTGACCATTGTTAGACAAGCTCTCCTTCAGCCAACGGAAAATGCGAAAGTAATGCATTATAGTCGACAGAAATGTATTTATCCTCCTCTGTATTTCGCAGTGTGTGCGTTTTCTTGAACATTATCAGTTTTTTTTTTAACCTCGATTCTTCATGAAACGTAGGCCTACGTCATCTCGTAGTATGTCCAGCGTATTCTGAAATCGGAAGTGGATGTATTTATTTTTATTTTTTTCTGATTTCTTTATATTCGACAGGAAAAATATGTATCATTTGTATTCTGCTGTTTTACTTGACCATTGTCTTATATTCGACTGAGGTTATACAATCCTTCAGCAAACCATAAAGGCAACAGTGACACATTTATGTTGTGTATGAGCTCTAATCTATATTCGACGGAAATTAATTTATAAGTTGTATTTTTCTTGCATTTATTTGTTGCAAATGGCTGCAATCTCGCTTCGTGTCCACGATAAAAACGAACGACGAACGTAGAATAGTGCCCTATCCGTTTCGTGTGGCGAAATTATTAAATCAGCATCAATGTTGGAAGAAAGATTTATATTACATCTCAAACCGATTGTATCAGATAGTTTATAGCCTACACGTTGCAGAATATGCCATCCAGGATGACACAAGTTTTTAATATTAGGAGAAGATTCCCCAAAATGTTCTAAAACTCTTAATCTTTAAAGCATGTTTTATTAGAATGTAGTTTTTAGCAAAAAAAAAAAAAAAAAAAATTGTAGCTAAACACTTGATATAGTTTTACCCTATTATTTTCTTGCCATGACAATAGCCACAGAAGCTGCCATGGTCTTAAAAACAAACAAGAAGGAAACACAATGCATACATAAAAGCTACATACATAATATATTTACATGTTTATTACCACAAGACAAAATAAGATGATTTACCTTGATCATCCAATTAAACAAGGCTTGTAATGCATCATGCTTCTCTCTTGAGCATCCGCAAATGTTTTCACCTTTATATATATATATATATATATATATATATATATATATATATATATATAATATATAGCCTATATATATATGCATATGATTTCTGCATTCTACCTCTGTATGGTTTTAAGATTCATCTTTTTTTCACACTGTCACTGCTGAAGTGCATGAGTTTAAATATGTAATGTTATGTGAAAAACCATATTCAAGACCAAAAAATGTTAAAATGAACACTGCAACCGGTTATGGTTATCAGGTTGCATAAGATCGTCCATGAGACTCGTGTATGTTTGCCTGATGAGTGAAAGTGTGAATCAATGATGTTCTTCTGCTGTTTGATTACATGTTACATTATGAATTCAGAAAGATTTCTCTACTCACAATCTTTATGAACATTGTCACATTACTTTCCTCTTGTTTAATGTTGTTTTGCTCATAATGAACTGTTCATTTCTTCTACAGCTTCTGGTGTTGATACAGTCAGAGTGTCAGTGATGGAGGGAGATTCAGTCACTCTAAACACTGGTGTTCAAACAAACCAACAAGACAGAATTAGATGGTATTATAATGACATTTGCATCGCTAAAATCAAAGGAGATCTGAGTAAGATCTGTACAGATGTTCAGTGTAATGAAGGCACTGAGAGATTCAGAGACAGACTGAAGCTGGATCATCAGACTGGATCTCTGACCATCATGAACATCACAAACACACACTCTGGAGTTTATAAACTGAAGATCAGCAGCGGCAACAGCGAGAGTGATGGGATCTTCAGTGTTTCTGTTCATGGTGAGTCATTATGTTTAAAAGCAAGTATTTTGCATTTAAATCACATCATTAAAGGGCTTGTATATCATGCTTTTAAATGTTTTCCTTGAGTGTGTAATCCAGGGGTGGAGCAATGTGTTGGGTTCTGGGGCTCCAGCCCCCAAATTATTTTTCATAAGCCCTGAATCTTTTAGGTTTCTTCTTAATAATGCTGTCAAAAATACAAATTTTGCGCTTTTGCTTTGCGCCATGGCTTTGGAGAAGTATCTGTCGAACAGGGGCGTAGAATTTAGTAGGGACGCTAGGGACGTGTCCCTACCAATATCCAGTGACACTGATATATGCCTAGCAATATTTTCGATCAAAACTTTAAATATATTAAATATTGATGTCCCCGTCCCCACCAATTTCAAAATCAAACCTTCGCCACTGCTGTCGAACATACTAAAATCAAAGTGCAGTAAGACTTTGTGCGCCCTTATCAAATCGCATAAGACTGCAAAACTATAGTCTGTTTTGCGCTGTTTCATTTCTCTTTGAAACGCATACAAAACTCGATCAAGTTTAGTCAAAGCCCAAAACAATTATACTTATATTCTATTCCATGAGACCTTTCAAATATGACACATGAATATCTGAGCTGTATGATATTATTGACATATTACAGAACATGGCCCGCCCGCACTCACTCATTCAATAATAACTCAATAACTCTATTTTAGATGTTTGGCCTCAATAAATTATTTTGTAATATGACTAAATGCCTGGTGTGTTTCTAATGCACAAGAAAGCAAATCTTTTATCACATAAAAACTTGATTTCAATATATGAGACATATTCATTTTGTATTGAATGCTATTTATTCCATATCTAAATCTAGATTATATGAAACATTATTATTATTATAATATAAAAACAACCAACATACTTTAGTGTATAAGAACATAGTTCGTGTCTGGACAGTGTCCAAGAAAATCACAGGACAGGTTAATTGGAGGCTGGCTATCCAAAAATAAATTACAGATTATTTTACAGTAATAGCCTGAACAAAGAAATGGCACAGACCTGTAAAATTATTCAGGACATCCAAGAAGGAATTACATTGTTCATATGTTAACTATAAATGTGACACTGAACGCTTGCAGTCATACATTTCTGAATGAGATGAAGAAAAAATATCATATCCAAATATGGGATTGTTTACCATATTATATTAATAATAGGACTAGCCTAGTACTAATAATGTATGATTTTATCATTTTACCTTATACTAATGTGGAAAACTTGCCATTTGAAAAAGTTAGTGACTCAGGGTCTAATTTCGCCTCGAATGCGCGTCTATTTTGCTTTAAACACTCGCTTTATACACGCGTCCAATTCGCGTTGGACGCGCAAGTGGATTCAAAATGTTCAAGTGTCCAACTAGACGTGACAGAAGCGAATTTGACGCTCAATTCGCGTTCGTTGTGAACGTAGCATAACACCTAACCATAACCTAATAGTTTACTGACTGTCTACTAGAGTCTACTAATACTCTAATGAGAGGTAGTTGACATGTAGTTGAAAAGTTACTTAGTAGAATGTCTAAAGTGGACTATCAAAATAAAGTGGAACCAAATGGGTTTATTATACATTTTCTCATAGCTAGGTGATTCCCGCAGGCTGTATACTCCATTTCAGAGGGATTACTCGGCACTCGTTAAGAGTTGATCAAAATGGTTAGATGTTTCAAAAAGCTGAGTTAAGCTTTAAAATGATACCCAATTTGTATTATTGCTTAGTAATTTGATAATATTTTTCTTTTCCAAGGGGTTATGTTTATTTGGGGTTTTTTTGCGCATCAGAGAGAAATGCAGCTAGGTCTTTGAATACTAGCGCATTTAACAGTCAATTGTAACAGGATGCGTAATGTTCATTAGCCGCACGATACAAACAGCATCTTTGTGCTCTGTCATTTCTGCAATATAGAACACAATTTCAATAGCCAAGCAGTCCTCGTTGTCATTAAAACATTAAAATGTAGCTTGTCATTGGATAAGATTCACAGAATGTTGATAAATGTTGCTTTTCAAACTGAAAGTCAAACCATGCTTTATTGCACAGTTCTCTCGTGTTATGTGTCTTTCCCCCCAAAAAAGATCCTATAATCATCTGTTGGTTTGTGTTTCAGGTGCTTCTGCTGCTCAACGAGATGAAGTGGAGGGAGAATCTGTCACTTTATATACTACTGTAATAAGAAAACTGAATGATTCAATAACATGGTATTTTAATGACATTCACATCGCTGAAATGACTGGAGATCTGAGTAAGATCTGTACAGATGTTCAGTGTAAAGAGAGATTCAGAGACAGACTGAAGCTGGATCATCAGACTGGATCTCTGACCATCATGAACACCAGAAACACAGACTCTGGAGAATATAAACTACTGATCAACAGCCGCAGATTCAACATCATTAGGAGCTTCAGTGTTTCTGTCACTGGTGAGGATTGTTAAATCATTCAGTGCATTTTCCCAAAACAGTGCATCCATTATATTTATATGTATAGCTTAAAGTTGGCATGAAATAGAAGTTTATAAGCGATAGTCTTTTCTTTCATATTGTGACATATATCAGAGTGAAATGGCTTCTGGGACAAAAACAAATGTAGTGCAGGGCTTGATTTTGTACATGACTTGTTATTTAGGCCTATGTGTGAGATTTAAACAGCAGGAGTATAAATAAGATTTTGTAGAAAAAACTTGACATTGTATCTTAATGTGGCAAAAAAATAAAACAATTTTAATAAAGGACAAAGTAAAAAAATATTATGAGCAGTATTCATCTATTTATTATTAATAATGAGTAATATTCATTGTGATTTAGAGAGAATGAAAATACTTGGTTGTGTGAATGCACAGATTAATTAATTGATGCACAGGGCAAATATAATATCAGATGTGAGCTGCATGAGTCTGATGAGTGAATGTGTAAATCAATGATGTTCTTCTGCTGTTCGTATGTATGTTTTACATACAGAATTTCTCTACTCACAATCTTTATGAACATTGTCACAGTACTTTCCTGCTGTTTAATGTTGTTCAGCTCATAATAAACTGTTGATTTCTTTTCCAGGAGCTTCTGGTGCTGATGACGACCGAGTGTCAGTGATGGAGGGAGATTCAGTCACTCTAAACACTGGTGTTTTAACAAACCAACAAGACAGAATTAGATGGTATTATAATGACATTCGCATCGCTCAAATCAATAGAGATCAGAGTAAGATCTGTACAGATGTTCAGTGTAATGAAGATACTGAGAGATTCAGAGACAGACTGAAGCTGGATCATCAGACTGGATCTCTGACCATCACACACACCACAAACACAGACTCTGGAGAATATACACTGAAGATCAGCAGCGGCAACAGCGAGAGTGACGGGATCTTCAGTGTTTCTGTCACTGGTGAGTCATTATGTTTAAAAGCAAGTCTTGTACATTTAAATCACATCATTAATGTGTTCAGTGAACTATTTTGCTTTGACATTCAGAGGTGTTTTTTCTCTTTACGTGTTAAAACATAGATTTTTTGACATGCGCACACTGCACAAATATACAGTTTCCTGCTGTCTGCGCATAATAACCATCCTCCTACTGATTCTTTATTTGTTTTAAACAGCAGACTTAATATTTATCCGTTGCTGGACTGAGCCGTCAATCCGATTACTAAGGGATAATTTGGTTGCATGTAAACGTAGTGACGCTGATACAGAGAATAACTCCTGCTGGAGGGGCTTTGCAGAGCTTTTTCATGCTCAAACAGCAATACTGTATCATACACTAAAAAAAGATGAACATGGGCAAAAGCATTGGGTGCTCTATAAACACATTTTGTTCTTACATTGGTTAGTTGTTAGTTTTCTCACTCAGTTTTGTTCTGAACAGTTTCTTATTTTCTTATATCTATTTAAATGCATCAGTGTATAAAGTGCTATATAAATAAAGGTGACTTGACTTAAAATGTATTTATAATCACAGAATGTTGATAAATGTTGCTTTTCAAACTGAAAGTCAAAGCATGTTTTATTGCACAGTTCTCTCATGGTCTGTATCTTTCCCCCAAAAAGATCCTCCAGCATCTGTTGGTTTGTGTTTCAGGTTTTTCTGCTGCTGAACGAGATGAAGTGAAGAGAAAGACAGCGATGGAAGGAGAATCTGTCACTTTATATACTAGTGTAATAAGAAAACTGAATGATTCAGTATCGTGGTATATTAATGAGATTCTCATCGCTGAAATGACTGGAGATCTGAGTAAGACCTGTACAGATGTTCAGTGTAAAGAGAGATTCAGAGACAGACTGAAGCTGAAGCTGGATCATCAGACTGGATCTCTGACCATCATGAACACCACAAACACACACTCTGGAGAATATAAACTACTGATCAACAGCAGCAGTTTTAGCTTTATTAGGAGCTTCAGTGTTTCTGTCACTGGTGAGTCTCATTTCATCATTCAGTGCATTTCCACTTGAGTAGTTTTATAATACTGCTTGAAATAGTCCTACTTAAATCCTCCCAGTAAATGTTTTCATTGTGGATAATCTCCATGACCTTATGCACATCAAAGTGACTGACAATTGTCACATTGAGTTTTGTCACATTACGAATTTTACTTTTTTTAATTATTTCGTTAATGATTAAAAAAAATGCACAATATTAGTCAGTTTTCATGTGAATCGGCTGATTTAGCTGCTGTTGCTCAAAAACACACCATTTATCGAATAAATCAACATCAGAAAACATTATACCGAAAGCATAAAGGTGTAAATATCAGTCAACAGTATTGACTATAGAGAGTTGATTATCAGATGATCTCCAGTAATAATGTCTGTGTGTCTTCAGCTGTTCCAGATTCAGGTCCGTCTCTAGCTGCTGTAGGAGGAATAAGAGCTGCTTTTATAATAGAAATAAGTGTTGCTGCTGGTGGTGTTATTCTGCTTGTGGCTGGAGCTGCTGCTGCTGTGATTTACTGTCACCACAGATCAAAACAAACAGGCAAGTATTACATACAGCTAATTGTACAAAATATAAATTAAGAATCTTTAAAAACATGTAAAAGTATTTGTATGCTAAATGACCAAAGAGTTTGTTGTTGTTGTTCAAACAGAAAGCAGGACACCGCCTGATAAGGTGAGATACTGTGAGCTCTGAATCTCTGTCTGCAAAACACTGACTTTACTACAGATTGACATTTGTTAGTAGTGTGTATCAGGGCCGGTTGCATGAAAACCCTTTATTGACTGTATCCCTAAGGGGAAAATTTCCCTGAGGAAAGTAATTTCTTTACCTAAGTGTTTATACTAAGCATTTCACAATAGTTTGGCAAAACACAGCAATAGGGAAGCGGTTGTTATAGTTTTAACCTCACCCATAAACAGAACATAACCGACAGCTTACTTTTAATAGTTTAACTTACCATGACTTTATGATTTCAAGGTGTACATTTTCATTAGGAATTTTTTATTTTATTATTATTATTATTTCAAAACTGCTTGTCTTTACCATAAGCGAGTCTCTTTTGAACTTCACTGCACAAATGTGTGTGTGCCACTCAAACCAGACTTCATCATAGGCTGCAGGATACATTGTGTACATAAACTTGTTGTCAGTAACATTTTTGTTAATTTTGTTGTCAATATTTTGAAGTTTGACAGCTAAAAGTATGTCAAATTTGAGGAAACTGCGCAAGATCCATGTCTGTTGCATTTTTCATACATCAAAATTCAAACTCATAGATTCAGTGTTTTGGGCTGCCGCCTTGAACTTGAGCATGCAAGATAATAATAATAAAAAAATATATATAATTCTGTCAAACTCACAGTGGAAAAAAATATGAAACCGAAGCTGCTCAAATACACAATTTAATTCAATTTTTAAAAGCGTTCTTCATAAGTCACATTGTTTCAAAGCATATCATACCTTACATATTTATAATACTTTATTTCTACCTCTAAAATAAACCTCGGTACTCCCTCCTTTTTAATTAACATGAAATCAGCCATTGCTTGAGAGTTCAGCAGACGATTTGAAGGAACAGTTTTATTTTAGAGGGTAAAATGGTCACTAAGGTCTTTGTTACAAGGGTCTGAAATTTACTTTTTCACTCACCGGACAATTTGACTACTAAATGTTTAAGGTACCAGCCATTCAGAACTTCTACAAGCCAAAAGAAAAAAAAGAAGAATTAAACCAGATTAACTACGTCACAATTTATATATGGATTATTTGGATTTCATACATTAATTTCTTCATCAAACAAAATCCTGTCATCCAGCCATATCCTCCCTTCCTCTTTCATCCACATCCTTTTTACCAAAAACATGTTTTAGCTGGACAGATCAATACTGTCACGAGGTGAGGTTGAAGCAAGGAGAAAGCAGGATCCAAATGCAGCACGTTTATTTAAATGCACTTAAACTATACAAAGACTCAGGCAAGGGAACAAGACTTGGGAACAGAACAACCTACATCAACGTAACAACGACACAAGAACTCACAAAGACTGGACTGAAACACGGGGCTTAAATACAGGGGCAAACGATCTAAACAGGATAACAAGGGGGCGTGGTCAATGAGAAACACCTGTGAAGACTAATAGACAGACAGGGAACCACTAGACATGACAAGACAAACCCACACTGTGACAAATACAGTACAAAGAACATCAAAATAATTTATGATGTTGGAAAATAACAAAGTATTTTTTGTTAACCAAATGCTTTTTAATCTTTGCTTTTGCTTCAATGAAAATTAACAAGTGCGTCGTTTTATTTTTTTGCGTAGGGACATGGATGTTCAAGTAAGCCAGATATGCACAGATTCTGCGCAATACACTGTATTTAAAGGGATACTTCACCTCTGGCAAGATGAATGTGTATTTAATATTGGTCATTTATATAGTAGAAATGTGAAATTATTTTTTAAATTGAAGCATTCTAGACTGAGCACAGTAATTCGAAAATACTCCTGGTTTTCTACTGATACAAAGCTTAATGCTAAATCCTGAAGTATCCCTTTCATATATCATGATGAATCACGACTTGAGTATTTGCTCTAAATCTGCGCAGATTTGGCTTACACAAACTCCCCCAGCAAAGTGAGTGAACAGTTAACGCTAAATTGGCGAGTGATTTGACAGCGTACCCGCCACAGTTGATTTTTACCCGCATTTGGGTGTTAATTCCAAACCCTGGTTGCAACGCATGACAGAACTTAAGGAAACTCTTAATCAATTAAGGGATAAAACTTAATGATGAGCTTAAGGTTTTTTATCTTGCAACCCATGTTTCACTAAGGGCTCCATTTAAACTTATAACTGGGTTTTCTTAACTTAAGGGCTTTGTTGCAACTGGTCCCTGTTTGAGTTTTCTCTGCGTGTTTCATTTAGAAATCATCACATAGAAACACTGATAATAACGGGCTTATTAAAGAGAGCGCTTCTCTTGTGTTGTTTTACTTCAGAGTAAAAAACGGGGTCTTTACATTCACAAACATCAGAGAGAAAAACACATTTTTTGTTTTTAACTGAATCATCAATCCTGAACATTTGTTTTTCCTTCTGTCAATCATCTTCTTTCTTTCAGGAGAATGATGTCGAAGCAGTGCCCCTTAATCACATGAATGGGACTGATAATGGGACATCCCCTAGTGAAACTCGGACTAATGGAACTTTACAGTAACATTATTTATTATTTTAATAGTTTCACTGAAAGGGAATATGGAAAGAAAATAGGAAAATAGGAAAAAAGGAATTGAATGAAATTATTCTCATTCTCAATCCTCATTACTCAGGGAGAAATTGTGTTCAATACCAGTGACTTGATGTTTCTCACCAAAACCAATTTTAAACAAAGCAAACTATTACCAGCAGTGAAACCAAGAGTACTGGAAGATTTTGAGTATGTAGTGAAGAGAATATTACAGCTGCTAAATGGATCCTCTGTATTGAATTGAATCTATACTACATATACTGTAGAATGACTGATGTTAAATCTTTACAATTTTAGCATTGGCAGCTTGGGAACACTATCCCAGCTAAGAGGGAACATAAGGTTCTTACAGTAATGTTAATAGGATATTAGTTCAAAGTTATTTGGTGTTAAAAAATATTCTCAATGTTATCACAAAAACTTTTTTCAGAATGTTCAAAGAATATTTATTAAATATAAAATGTAATGTTTATGTTCACAGAACTAGGACAAAAAGTTAAGACATTTAAAAATTGGACATTTGTAACATTAAGAGAACACACAGAAATAACATTTAGATAACAATGAGAAAGGTAAAAAAACGTTCTTAGAACATTGTTGTCAACTTGTCAGTTGGGACAGAGAGGAACATTCCTGTTGAGTTTTGGGTGCCAGTGTTTTACACCTCTATTAACCAGCTAACCTCTCGTTCAACCATCTTTGTTAACTCTAAACTGACATTTTTTACCCAGGAATACACCAATACACTCTACACTAGTGTTTGGTTGACAACATTTGTGGTTAAAGATCGATGGTTCGAATCCTACAAGAGTTGATCCATGAAATATTACCATTGTGTCCTTGATCAAACTCTGAATCTCAGGAACTGATCCTGTTAAATCTGCACTGAAATACACCAGCTACAAAATGCTAAATATGTTTATGTAACAAATATATTATATATTTCATAACTGTTACTGGCTGCTGCGCAAGCCTTTTGTGAAACATCTGAATGATGGTTTAAGCTCATTTCGCAAATGAGTTTTTACTGTTAAACAATAGTATTCGGTTTTTTATTACATGACATATTTTTAGATGTTTGTTACTTCCACTGAATGTCTTCATTATTGAAATGTGCAAAAGTGAATGTTTTTCTTTACAATTGTTTTGTATTTTGTAACAAGTGAAAGTGTAACGTTCTACCTTTTGTAAAGCATTTGAGATGTTGATTAGGTTTTGCACTGCCAAGTTTATGCTGGAGACCTGTGGCGCTTTCAAGGTAGAAATACACTACTTCACATCATCTTCCTATTTTTCTGTTTTGGTTCTCAAAGCATGTTGAGCTGTGCTGTTATATATGATTTAACTTCATATATTATTATTGTGTTTTCCTGTTTGTATTGTAGAATATCACTGTGTGCTGGAAATGATCACCTGCACTTGAACAGGTAAAGTATGTTTGACCCCAGTTTAAATCTGTTTGTCTGAACAATGGAAAAGATTTCTAATTGTGCAAATCTCTCTTTCTCAGGGCTGTTTCTCTCTTTCTCGGGGCTGTTTCCAGAGTCAGCTGATCAAAGTGCCCAGCAACTGCCTCTTTACCTTGAGCTTTAAATTCGATTATTGTCTTTATTTTTTTTTTATTCTGTGGAGATTTGGCCATAGTTTGTGAACGATGGGACGGTTGGGTGATGATCTTGACGTTTAGTTGATGTGAATGGGGTGATGATGCAATTTTAATCTGGAAACTCCTATTGCCTTTCTTCTTTTTAATACAAAGCATTTCACTACAGGTTGTACTGTGTATGATTGTATGTGACGCATATAAACTTGGACTTGAACACTGAGCGGTTCCTGCTTTCGTAGAATAATAGGATTTATAAATGTCATCATGGTGCCTATTTTTAAATTAATAATTTCCATTCTGCAACACGATCTCAGTAAGAGAGTAATTGTATGCCTTGGGCTCTTAGCCAAAGATTTTCAGATTGTTTCTTTAATTTAGCATTAGAAAAGGAAAACGTTTATCCTATGCATGGTTTTCATACAATGGAAAAGAACTTGAAATATCTGTATATTTATGTTCTAGATGCCATTAAAACAGATCCGATTCACTTATAACAGAATCTGTGAATTTGTGTCATGACTTTAGAGTTTGTTATCAGAATTAACTGAGCTAAGCTAAAGCTGAATGGTTTAAAAGCCCTTCAACCGCATGCAAACACACTACTGACACACAAACTGAAAACAACCACACACTTCCAGTAATACCTTGTGTTCA